GATAAGATGTTTCGCAGAGGAAACTTTATTTACCAAGGTATCATCCACCATTCAGAAAAGACGCAGGCGGTGGTGGTGTACTACTTCATGTCAAGGATCACCTGACAGTAACCACTAATAACTAGCTAAACGAAATGGGCTGTCTGTCATTCAAGCTATCGAACCTTATCATTGAAAATCATCCGGTTAAAGATTATAATTTCAGCTCATTTCTTGGGTGTACTGTAAGTATGGTACAGTCACCCAAAAAAGTCCTGTCGCGAACCATGAACCCCGAGATTCAGACTTGAATCCGAAACATTTATGGACAGAATAATGTATCAGTGTCTACTGATTCGGGTTCACGAGTCTGAATCTCGGGGTTCGTAGTTCGCGACAGGACTTTTTTGGGTGACTGTACAAGGTTCACTCCCAGTGGTGAAACTGAGTCACGGGAATGATGTCATGGTCACATTGACGGCTGGTCTGTTTTAGAACTGAGGATTCTTATTATACTCCACTGAGCGGGAAGGAGAGAGCTTCCTGTGACGCCCTCTCCTCCAACCTTGTCCTCAGGTATGGAGCATGTGTCCCCCGCCGATATAATTTTTGAGTTTGATTTAGTCAATTTTGTGAGTATCAGTGTTCATGTTGTAACAGTGGAATTGTCATTCACCCAGTGTGAGAAGTAATATAAAGTAAATGTCGTCTGACGTTGCGAGACGAAAGATTTGTTTGTGTTTGAGTCATCCATGCTCCCAACCGTGACGTCCTCTCCCGTTGTATCCCAGATCAAGTGGGTGGCTTTTTGAACACCCCACTGGCCCCTGGAGCTGGTGGCTACCTAGCAGTGAGCGATATATGGACGATGTTGTTGATTCGACATGATTAACTTACTGCAAATCAACATCGTGGGGCTGGACCCCAGACCCGCCACGTGTCGGAGTCCAACCGACCACAACAGCGGTCGGCAGTTGTTGAGTTCTACCCTGGAGCACTCCTGGCAGTTATGGTCCAGTGTCTGTTGTATATGTTTGGGGATAATTCTGTAATATAATTATCCCATGTTGGGTAGTGAACCCATGTATAAGTTGTTGGTTTCAGTATTAACGTGTTGTGAGTGCATCTCATATGTACTAACAACAGTGAGAAGGTATCAGATGTAAGTTTGCCTGGTAATGTACTGTAATGCCATGTACCACCAGCAAGGTGTGAGAAGTAATGTATCTGATTGGAGTTGTAATATGAGTAAAGCCACGGAGGTGATCCTGGTAACTGTTAATGAAATGCACCTAGTAATGTGTGAGAAGTGAGGTACCCACTTGGATTGGCAGTTAAGAGAAGCCAGGAGTTGTCATGTGTCTATATGTAATGTGAGTAAAGCCAAGGAATTGGTCCTGGTAACTGTAATGTAATGTAACACCAGTAAGGTTGTGTGTAGTAAGAGTACAGTATCTGAGTAATTGCAGTTGAGTAAAGCCGAGGAGTTGCACCTGGGAGTTGTATGTTAATGATATCTTTTCCGTACTTTGATTTCATATTAATAAACCTTTTCTTAGAGTATATTAGGGGGTATTCATTTTCCTGCAGTATTTCACCTTTATTTCCGTCCAAGTGACCTTGATATCAGAATTACAATACCCATGTGCCCTGACCCTCGCCGTGCTACCAAAAAGAACTGAGGTTATGTAGTAACCAATGAACTGAAGTAAGAAGGAAGAACAGTTGAAGGAACTAAGACAAGAGAAGTATGAGTAAGACAATGGGGGGCAGCTTGAGAGAGAGAAACCTCCCTCTATACATGATAAGTGTTAAAATCAGTGCAATTGAAAAGACAGTGAATACTTGTTGAGTACCGAGGGGACAGTCTCGTAATGTATTACCAATTTTTTTGTGAGCAAGACTCTCAGTAGTGGAAATATTTCTAGTTCTTTTTAAAGTTAGTTGATTTTCTAGAGTACAGTGTAATTCGGGAAGAGTTAATACAGTGTTGCACCATACAGAGATTGTCAATAGTAAGTGCAATTGCCTTGAGTTTGCACAGTGAGTCTTGAAAAGTGACAAAAGAGTACAGTGATGTTTTCCTTGTGTATTGTTCAGTGAAGACCTAAAGTAAAAGTTCACATATACATTATTATCACTAGGGGAGTGAGTAATAATCTGTGCAGTAATTTGGAAAAGTATTTCTAGTGTTTTTGTGTATTTGAAGGTCAGTTAGGCAGTAATCCGATTGCATTTGAAGGTGTGCACTGTGCCCGTGTTGTGTAGTTACAGTGAGTTTGTGTGACCTCCAGGCATGATGGCCATCACAAGGGAGCAGTTCAGGGCAGTCAGCTCGGAACCTGTGTCCGATAAGTTTATGTGTACAGTTGAGAAGTAAGTGGGTGGAGACGTGTTCATTCACAGGAATGACACCCAGGTCTCACCACCAGTTGTTGCATCAGGTGAATGGCCTGATGGACAGGAAGGTGTAGAAGGGAAGAAGAGTAAGGAATGCCTCTCTTACTAGTTATGTGAGAGACTGGCATCAGTGTTGCCGAGATTTCTTTAAAAGGGTTGTAGACCTTGACGGGAATGCATTGGTTGTTGGTGTGCATGGTGAAGAGTGATGTTTTGCATATTTGTGTTGCAATTGAGAAGTACAACTGGTAAGTGAGAGAATGTGTTGTTGCCTTGCATCAGTAAGTTGTGGAAAGTAAGTATGTTGTTTGCCCATGTGAGTGTGGCATGTGGTGCAAAGGGAATGTTTGCGAGCAAGTAGGTGTTTGTGAATTTTTTTTTCTTTTGATTTTTTCTTTTGATTTTTTTTTCCGGAGAGGGATTGTCAATTTTCAGTAACGACATAGAGATTGGAAGATGGATTGGCAGTTGTGCAACCATCTGATGGGTATCTGTGACTAGTTTGAGTAAAGATACCAGTTGTGAGTTCTCAAGTTTTGTGAGTCAAGTCCTAGCTAGTCTTGTTGTGTATAGGAGTAGTGTTCGTGACTTTTAGGCGGGGTCAGGCATGGATGCATGGCACCGATTTCTGCTAAATGGCAAATGCCATAAGTACAGACAGTTTTTTTTGGTTTGGTTGTGCTCCCATAAGGACCATTTCGTATTGCATTGTATTCTTGGGAATATCTCCGCTCATTCGGGATCCCTTGAATGTTGCTGTCTCTCGCGAGTAGGACATGACTCTTTCGTTTAAAGTCAAACAAATCATTCCTTCGGTTGGATGGGATCCGTTCATCTATGTCCTAGTTTGAGAAGTCTAAGTTAAATCTCAGTGGTGTCGAGTAAGCATTTGATCAATCTCCTCTATGTGAAACTTTTTTGATATGAGAAGCTGTATCTCCAGAGTGTGTATTGTGTAACAAATTTTTATGCTATGTATGTATCCCCATTTTTATGTTTTTTCTTTATCATTACATTATTCTCCTATGTATGTATATTTACCTATATTTTGTTCCCTATTCAATGTGTCAACACAAACTTTAGATTAGTATAAACATAGTTATACGTGAGTTTTCCATTTTCATATTGGATAACAGTATAAGAAAACGAATAGAACAATTGGGGGACTGTTTTATTCTAGATCTTGACTTCCTACACTCTACAGTATATATCTTGCTTCGGGGCTTCCTTAGTATCTCACTTTTGTTGGTGATTTAGTCACATAGTATACTGTATTATCAATAGTAATTTACAAACCTGGAACCTTCTAATGTTCACAAATACCATAATTGACCTGCCTCACTACTTGCGACGCCACTACGAAACTACTTTCCTGGATGGATTTATTAGGATTTCTTCGCTTGTACAATAAAATACGATAAAAACAAAAACAACAAACAGAACAAATCCTCAAATCCGGCACCCTCGTAACCTGAGAGTGATGGACCATATAAATTTATGAAACATTTAAATAGTTTTTAATTATGTGTTTGTCACTAAATTGTTAAGAATAGTTGAAGCTGGTCGTGTACGGACTTTATTCAATGTGTGTGTGTGTGGTACAGTCACCTCAAAAATCCGTGTCCTCGGCAATCAGAATGAACCGCTGGAGTGAACCCTGTAAGTCCTCTGGTTCAGGTTTGATTTTCAACCCATGGATGACGCTTCTTACAACACGAGTTAAACAACACGGAGTCTAGTATAGTTGCCGAGAGTGTCCCAACAGGTGGAGCTATTCACGTCTGGTAACTTTATACACAAATGACTAATGTAAAAGCAAGATTATATTATGAGACCAATACTGTATAAAACAATATTAGGTTACTCTCTTATCGTGAATGTATAGAGAAACGTAACCACGCAAGTTTTCCACATGATGTTGGGACATTGTTTGGAATGACATATTGATTATAGCTTTTGATATATATGTCAGACTTGTCGTTAATGTATAAATTAATATTAAAACAAGTGATCAAATCTTTTAGTAAACATAGGGCGTGAAAAAGTTCTACACATTCCCAGAAGAGATTTATCTGGTGGTGGACGATGTCACTTGGGTCACATCTGCTATGACTATAATTAAATTAACTTGTCTCTATATTACAATAATTGTTTGTTGTATCTTGTGATTCGAAGCACACCATGGACGACGCCCCAAATCAGGCCTTGGACATTAAATCAATTCCTTTCGTGATTTAATTACTGTAATTAAGTTAAATGGTTAATCATTATTACTGAACTTAGGGTTGTTATTTCTGGCATGAGGTTCAGTAATAAGGTTTATAATCTTAGTTAGTAAATTAGGATTCGGACGGTTAATGGTTCAGTATGTATTGGTCGAGGTATCACTCACACATCTCGAAGCTTTCCACTGAACTTGTGACAGATGTGATGTTCGACTGACACACCAGCCCACTTCAGTCTCTGTGTGACATTATCAGATCATGATTGAAAGAGTACAATCACTCCGAGATAGTTCAGTTCTCCCGACGACAACACTCCGTTTTCTTTGCAAATGCGGGCGGGACTCGCGGACTAGTTGGTAACTCTTGGTTGTGGTCGTCATATACAACCACCCAGTACTACTCAGCCAACCACGTGTGTCGGTCGTGTTGGTGAGCGCTTGTGTTATATCTCTCTCACTAAGGAAACCATAATACGTTATCTAGAAACTTACAGCGGACATCTTATTAGTGACAGTACACGTGTATGGTGAGATAGTGATTCATGCGACAGGTGTCCTCAATGTGATTAGCCTAAAGGTGTTTCGTGTCAACCGAGAACGCTAATCATCACTGATATATATTTCTAGTGACTAATAAATACTTGAATTATTACACTTTTGGACTATTGTGTGAATTACAAGAGTAGCCACAGTGTTGCCAAGATGAGAATTAATCTTGCTTTAAGGTAAGATACTTTACAATCAAGATATGTGTTTGTTTAGTCAAGGTATTCTTAACATGGTGTCACCTATATTTTACTCATCCAACAGAAATCAGTCTAGTTTGGTTAAAAAAAAGTCACCTAACACGAATTTTGTTTCAACTCCTTCGTTATAAAACAGAAAATACTCTTCTATGCGTTACCAGAAAGCACAGATAATCGTGTATGTTATATTTTGAGGAAACTTAAAATTAGGCTGATAAAATGAAGGAGTTAAACAAGGTGTTACAAGTGGGAGGGCAGCACACCTGTACCACAGAGGGACAGAAGCTATAGTGAGGGTGAAGCGTCTATAATATTAGTGCATGAGGTGAAGGGATATGCGAGGCTGTAACGGAACTATACGTAGGCGCTGTGTTAAAACAAGCACGAGAGTGTGTAGAGTTGGGAAGTAGATCTAATGTTTGATGAGTGACAGGAGAGAGAGAGAGAGAGAGAGAGAGAGAGAGAGAGAGAGAGAGAGAGAGAGAGAGAGAAATCAGTGTTGTGGTGTGGTGTGTGTGCGTATGCCGGATATGGGTATTTAATGTGCGAGTTTTTAAGCCGAGATTTCGTCTACTAGTGGTTGCTTTGATCACAGTTATGTAATTATTTATTTTAACGTCTTAGGGACACACACACACACACACACACACACACACACACACACACACACACACACACACACCAGTTTCCTGTCTCCCACTTCCCGTAAGAGAGACTAAAATGGATTTCCTCATTTCAACCCCCCAAAAAATCTTAAATGATTAGAGAAGTTAAGTACCAGGAAGAGCTTGTGCCGCCAGTACCCCGCTTACACGATATTTAGGTATATTTATGTTTATGCTCCACGTGTGGTTTGGGGTTACACATATAACGAGATAAAAATACCTTAATCTATTTTTATTTAGTCTGAAAATATCGCCACAACAACAACACGAGTATAATACCTGAGGTCTTCAATTAATGATACAGGTATAACGTTAACGGAATCTATAGCGAACCTAACTTTAACGGAATCTGTACCATACATAACTTAACTTTAATGGAATCTGTACCTAACCTAACAGTACATGCTTAAAGACCTTAGTGGCTGAAACGCGGTGATAACGTAAATACTGTTATAGTTATCATTGTAATTTAAGTTATCATTATAATTTGTTAGTTATATCGAGAAAAATAATAAAAGTACATAATGAAACAAACACGTAAGATTTTTTTTTTTTATGGTTGTGTTGATGACTTAGCAGTAGACCTCTGTATTATTTATGAAAAAAGTAAAGATGAAGACGTGGGTGTTAACTAAGGTGGCATGTATTGTAATTCATTCATGTACGGAACACAGTGGTCAGAGTGAGAAGTGTTCATGCAGTTGATTCTCCAGTCACTTGAGCTTGTATACATCCTCTACGCAACAGGTTAAATAACTGGTAACACCTCCACCAGTCACACACCTTCAGGCCTTCCGACAGCAGATAACCAAGCCTAGTCAAGTTTAAGCTAAGCCTAACCAAACATGTGATTATCCAAGTTCTATCTAGACTGAAAAAATGGAAGATTATTGTGTTAGGTTTAGGACAGGAGAGGAAGAATGTGGTCAGCGAGAAGTGTATCCAGCTGATGTCTCTTTAAAAGGAACGATGCAAGTTTGTGCGTCTTGGCAGTTAAACACCGTAGAATTTTACAGTTAAGTGACGCTACGTAGATTGATCAGGTCAGTTGAAGTATCTGTTACAGGAACTTCTGTCACATTAGGACTGTTTAAGGTGTCATTATTGTGTGTGTGTTGTACTGACAGCTGCAGAAAGATACTTTACATTATGAAACACAAATTCCTTTGTCAGTCACTATGAGATGAATCATAAGTTCCTCAGTACACACAATTAACAAAAGTGGATCACAAGACGACCACATTAGTTTCATGACAAAACACAAAGACCATGGAATAGACCTTAACGATATCACGACACAGGCAATAAAAGATGTCATGACAGAGACTTCAACATCATGAGAGTCCACAAGTGTCATGACACAGTCCACAACAGTGTCATGTGATGAGATAAAAATGGTAGTAGGTGAAAAATGTGAGGAAAGTGATCGGCTGGGTGTCTCTAATAAGGGAGCGGATATTCTAAGGGAAAATAAAAAACTAAAATAAATTTCTCAAATCAAGAGGATAAACGAGGAAATCTCCGTGGAGAAGCGGGAGGAGAGAGAGAATGGTGAAAGTAAAATAGAAAGTGGGGTGAGCAGTGCTGTGAAAGCGTGTTTGTTTTTATCTAAAGTCAAGCCGCCACATTTACTCAGGAATTAGTGAGGTTATATGTCTTGGTACTGAACAAAAAGACAACGTCTGCAGTAGCAACCAACAGCACCTGGCGTTCATCTGCCCTGTGAAGACACGCATACTGATATTACGCCAGACGAACGTTCGCTCGTCTTCTGTCTACTTGCCTTATGAATCTTAGGTACTGTACCGTATTTGAGACGTTAGTCGACTTCTCGCTGTTTTCTTGGCACAGGTCAAAACACGTTCTTTGTTTATCCAGTTGGTGTGTGGCACTGTGGGGTACTGGAGGTTGAGGCCAGACCCCAAGGTCGAGGGAGGTAGAGCCCAGACCCCAGGGTGGAGGCAGGTAGAACCCAGACCCCAAGATACAGAGGGAGGTAGAGCCCAGACCCCAAGGTAGAGGGAGGTAGAACCCAGACCCCAGGGTGGAGGCAGGTAGAACCCAGACCCCAAGATACAGAGGGAGGTAGAACCCAGACCCCAAGGTAGAGGGAGGTAGAGCCCAGACTCCAGGGTGGAGGCAGGTAGAACCCAGACCCCAAGATACAGAGGGAGGTAGAGCCCAGACCCCAAGATGCAGAAGAGGTAGAGCCCAGACCCCAGGGTGGAGGCAGGTAGAGTTTCTTCCTGGTTATCATCACAAACTTGTTATTGGCACTTGGGTGATAATGATGTAATAGTTAAGTTTTCTTCTTATGGTGGTTCATAACCTTGACTCTTACAGTGATACAATTTTTTGTATTCATAAAGAGGTGTTGGCCAAGACCCCTGATGCAGGTAGAGCCAAGAGTGTCAACTATGGACACTGTTTACACAAGGTTTATTCAGGTGTGATGATGGTGTGTGATGTTTACTACCACCTCCACTAACCCCTTCACTACCAGACGCCACTTTTAATATTTTATTTGGCTTAAGCGAAACGATTTTATTCAGCAGAGAGGGAGGGTAACCAAGTGAATGGGGAAATTTATCCGTGATTGGAGACTAATTTGTAATACAACAAACAATAAATTTATAAGTAAATTGATGAACAATATAAACAATGTCTGATGCCAACTGAGCTTCCTTGGCTGACGCAAAAATTCGAGTACAGTATTGACATTAGATGAATCAACCACCGACATTGTGTTAATTAAAACCAGTAGTGTACAAAGTATCCACTTCCGAGGGTGAATTTTTTAAAACATTGAAGATCTGATCCTGTCAACTTAAATATTAAATTTCGCATAACATTTAACGTAGTAACTATTTTATTAAGTAGACGCTAAGAGCAACGCTAGTTAAAATGAAGCCTGGCACACACTCATAACTGTCAGCACAGTCGACCAGCAGTGACCTACAACTACTACATGAGGCAATGTCAGGGTCAGGGAGGTGGTGAAGTTGAAGATGTGTGGGGAGAGGTACACCACCGCTGACGGCAAGAAACTAATACATTAAGTCTCTTGCTTTATTTGTACATTAACCAAGGTCAACAACTGTTTGGTGACATTTACAGTTTCACCTGACTTGACAGTTAGACTTCTAAGGTAGTGGAGGTAAACACACAGGTGTCAGGTAAGCGTAAAGTATCGGTGACGCACCTGTGTTTCACCAAGGGATTCTGGGGTTCCTTCACTTCCTGGGTTGGATGAGAGGAGAGTGTTGTGCCACCTGCCGAACATGACAGGTTTTCTCCGGCTACTCCTGTACAGTACTGAGCTAGCTGGACCGGCTGTGACAATAGAATTAGAAATAACTACTGGATACATAGCAAAATACTTGTCTTCGTCGATACAAAGTAGATTCTTTTACACTTGTATGTTTTAGAAGAAGAAGAAGAAAGAGAAAACTATATAATAAGAAATAACGAGAAACCATCTTTTGAAAGGACTAATCCTGGGCTGCCTGCTGAACCATAAACAAGGCCGTGTGACCCAGTGGTTGAGGCGTCTCCCTCATCATAAAGACTCGTCCTAATCGCAGAAAAAAAGAAAATTCCTCAGCATTTTTCGAGGATTTCATTGGATTAGCCTCACAAGTCCACTTTTTTTCTAACGTTACTAAAAGTATTCATAAGGTTACATAGTTTGGCTCCACATAAACTTTGCTCAGTGACCTGCCAGGGTTCGGCTACCCATCAAAGAGCCCGGGCACAAAACTCCTCATGTGGATTGTGTGTATTACAAAATGCCGAAGTTTTATTTATTTTATATATATTTTTTTTTTTACAATTTCATGTAAGTAGATTTCTGTATGTACTTTTTTTGTTTATCGGACAATTTTTTTTCGATGTACTGCGTTCGTGGGGATGAAGTATTTTACTAATTAATACAATATCATTCTGTCATTCTAAAGTACCATTATATCCCCGGAATCAATTCAAACTAGTACCTTTTAGTCTGTACAGTGCACTAAATACGATTTCTATCTATACACTGTACAGCTATAGTCAAACATCCAACCTTATACTATCCACAATTGCCATACATTATCCTAAAGACACATATTTATATCCGAGTAACAAAATACCATATAATTTAACATCAATACCATAAATAACAGACCATTATGTCGAAATAACGTACCAATATCGTAGACCAGATAGAGAGTTACCGTACCACAGCCAGTTGAGACACACACTATAGCCAGGAGCAATTTTGGCAGCAATCACCGACCTTGGCAGAATCTGAGGCAGTGGACGGGTTAGGTTGCA